GAATGAATCGACTGAAGACATTTACCGCCACCTGCTGGCAGATTTTGTTACTTATTTAGAGTCTCATTTAATTAACAATAATAATAATAAAAACATTAAAGGGATAGTTCACCCAAAAAATTGTAAATTCTGTCATTAATTACTCACCCTTATGTCGTTCCAAACCCGTAAGACCTTTCTTCTTTCTTTTCTTATTTGAAAGTTCTTTTGTTTTGTGACTTTCATTGTATGAACAAATAATACTGAGATGTTTCTCAAATTATCTTCTTTTATGTTCCATAGTTTATGTTTGGCCGTTGTAGCCTAAATGTTTATATGTAATACATTTTTTTGTTGAATCATAAAATATTTCTAAAGCTACAATTTGTAATGTCTACTTGATACTTTCTCATTTAACACAAAAATATCTTTAAATAACCTTTTGTGGGTATTTTCACAGTAAAATTTATTTTGCGATTAATTGGATTAATTAGTCGAAACATCATGTAATTAATTAGATTAAAAATGTTAATCGACTAATATATATATAATTTTTTTTTTTTTTTGCGTTTATCATTTAACAAATATCTTTAAATAACCTTTTGTGGGTATTTTCACAGTAAAATTTATTTTGCGATTAATTGGATTAATTAGTCGAAACATCATGTAATTAATTAGATTAAAAATGTTAATCGACTAATATATATATAATTTTTTTTTTTTTTTGCGTTTAAGGGTTTCGGCTGACAGCAAGGTTTGTGAATCCCTGTATTTTGGCATGTATTATATATGTGTGTGTGTGTGTGTGTGTTTGTGTGTGTGTGTGTTGCAGGGTTCCAGGCGTCTCCTCAGGACAGGTTTCTGGTCATGGCAGCAGAGATGGAGAGCAGCGGCGGAGCCGGCGTCTCAGAGCTCGCTCAGTTCTGGAAGGAGGTTTCTAAAGCCAAAGTCATGGAGCACAGGTGACGTCTGTCACACACCCGCTGCATTCTGGGAACACCGGCTCGCTCACGAATACAGCGCAAAATCTGCATATGAATGTTTTCACAAACAAATCCGGAAAATCTAATTGCAATTTTTCTGATAATGCAGCTAAAAAATAAATTCCAGGTTTGCTGTGCTTGTTTGTAAGGCTGCACAATTTGGCCAAAATTTTGTGATTATATATCAATATGGCTATAAAATAATAATAAAAATAAAACCATGTTATTATAAAATAATATTAGTAGTAGTACTAGTAGTACATAAAAATATAAAAAAAGAAAAAGGTATGAGAAAATATAATAATGCCATTATTATTTTTATTACTACTATTATTATTATTATTATTATTTAATATATAAAAATTACAAAATAAAACAAAATAAATCTTCTGGTTATAATTTAACTGTAAAATAAAATATTTAAAGAAAAATGTAAGAACCACATTATTAGTGAATTACTCATATTTATTATTTATTTAATAAGAATTACAAAAATATTACTGTTATATTGTACTGTAAAATAGGATTTAGGATTTAGGAAAAATATAATAACCACATTAATAAAAATAGAAATTACAAAACAAAATAAGCAGCATTACTAGTGTAATACTTCAATGTAAAATAAGTTTAAGAAAATAGTTTTTTTCCATTATAACTGTAAAGTTACACTACAAATATTTATGTCTTTATTTCTTGATTTTCATGTGAAGCCATTGAATTTTATTTTGACAAAGCCACATGGAGGATTGTTGATAATCACTTCTCATTACAAGCAAAACGTACATTAAAGTTCCCTGAATAACGAGCCGCTCGTGTGTAATTGAACACAGTGCCGCGCTTCACTCCGAAACGATAAACACAGTTGAGAAACAGCGTTTGAAAGGCAAGCGGATCACAGAAGCGAAGGCTTCGACTCGGAGATGTGAAAGAAGTCGACAGCCGTCTGATGACTGACTCTCTGAGCGTTTGAGACGATATTGAGCTGGTATTATCTGACACTAATCAGCCGTTGTTTCCTCAGGCTGCGCTGTCTCCTCCTCGAGAGCCCAAAGTCTATTCTGAGCAACTGGTCTGAGAGTCCGTCAGCGGCGAGCAACGAGCATCAGGACCTGCAGAGCACGGTGAGACACTGTTCACTCCGAGACAAAAACATGGATTCTTTATGTACTGCTCAGGTTTGAGATTTGAAAACTTTCAAAATGCATTTTTAAGGGTTTATTTTATTGCACTTTCTGAACATTGGATAAAGCCAGGTTCAAAATTCTTGTTTGATTTTGACATATTAGAGTTAATGGTTTTTACAGAGGCGGCTCTGGATTTCTCTTTTTATCACGCCATAAATTATGGAAGCATATTTCTGAAATAACTAAAGATGAAATAAAAAAGGTTGTGTTTTTTTTTTTTTTGATCTCACAATTCTGATTTTTTTTTTTTTCTCATAATTGCAAGTTTCTATTTTTTTCTTATAATTCAAATTTAGGCTTTTTTTCTTAGAATTGAGTTATACTCACAATTGTTCTAAGTTTTTTGTTTTTTTCCTGTGGAAGTTCATGAGAACTTCTCTTGTACCAATACTTAGAGCCAAATAAATAATTTGAAAAAATAATAATTGTTGTTTCTGATAAAAAATTGTGATTGCAAAGGTTAAAAAAGTAATAATATTAATAATGATAATAATAATAATAATAAAGTAAATAAAAACAAAAATTACCATTATAACATTTCACTGTAAAAACATTATATAAATAAAAATAAATAAATTACAAAAAATTACTAACAATATTTCACTATTAAAAAGTATAATATTATTATTATTATTAAATAAAAGTAAAATTAAATAAAAATGTTTAAAAAAAAACTCCATTAAAACAAATATAATAAATACGGTTATATTTCATTGTGAAAAAAAGTGATATTTTATTGCACTTTATCTATATGCATCTGTAGATTTGTTACAATACATATCTTTAAAGGCTATTTTCTCAAAATGATTTTCTTTGTCCAACCTTTACGGTTTTATTCCTATCTATATTCTGAAGATTTGTACTGCTGTATGGTTTGTTCATATATAATTCACACTGATTTACAAGATTTTATTCCTAAAAACATGGTGATAATGTATGGAAGGTTATTTATGCCACAGAATAAAAAATTTAAAAGGTAACGGACTTCTCAATCTCACAATTATGGCTTTTTTTCTTGCAATTCTGAGAAAGAAAAGTCTCAACTGTGAGATATAAACTCATAATTGTGAGGAAAAACAAGTCAGAGTTGAGTTTTTCATGGTAGAAACAAGCTTCCATAATTTTCTGATTTATGGAGTGATAAAAGAGAGAAATCCCAAACCCTTAGTATGTCAACAAAATCAAGCAAGAATTTTGAACCTGGCTGTATGAAATGTTCAGAATTATCTTCTTGAAATGCATGCAAATTAGTGCATATTTTATTAAATCAGCCTCATTTGCATATTTAAATACAATCCAAAACCGTTACTGTTCTACCCCCGGTTTCACAGACAAGGCTTAAGCCTAGTCCCAGACTAAAATGTAATTCTGAGCCGTTTCAACTGAAAGACTTAAAATATATCAATGCCTTTGTTTTGTCTCATGCACACCAGTAATGTTTTTTTTTTCTAAGGCATGTTTATAAAAATGACTTAAATGTCCTGATTGAACTATGGCCTAATCTCGGCTTAGTCTGTGAAACCAGGCCTCGGTGTACTGTGATTAATCAGCCCTAAATTCACCTTATCGTGCATGATTGATTAATGCACGTCTTTCTGAAACGTGAATCTTCTCGTGCAGCTGATGCGTGTGATGGCGAGTAACTCGCGTCTGGAGCAGAAGCTGGACTCGTGTCTGTGGACGCAGAAGGTTCTTGTGCTCATGGTGTGGTTTCTATTGGCCCTCGCTGCATACTCGCTCTGGACGTCCTGAAGCTCACAGACGGTGCACCGCTTCGCTGTCAAACCCAGAGACATTATCACGCAGAGCCGTCCAAACAGACAAGCTACGAGCTGAATCATGGGGTTTTATCAGAAATACACCACACTGTAATTTATAAAGATTGTGTAGAGTTCTTAAGATCATGCAAATGTAATTAACTCAGTCTGATTTTAATATTATATACAGTATTTTATAAAAGTATGAACGTGTGATCAATAAAAATGACACTTTTGCTATGCATCACTGTGCTTTTTTTTTATTGCAAATGACTGAATCTCCTTTAGCGTGATCCGTTAGTACAAAAACTAATTACAGTTAACTAGTTTGGAATAAACTGCAAAGCATGTGCTTTTTTTTGCCTTACTTGAGGTAAAAATCACTGTTTTTAAACATCAAATATGTTGTGATTGGTCGATTCAACATCATCCCAGATCAGAGTGTTTCTTCATCAGATTTGGAGAAATGCAGCATTGCATCAGTGTCTCAGCAATGGATGCTCTGCAGCTAATCTCGGATGACCTGAGAGTGAGGACAAATGCACCAAATGTTCATTTTTTGGGTGAACTGTTCCTTTAATTGTGTTTTTATTTGCTTTGCGTTGCACAGTGGTTTGTGTTTCATTATGGACGGATGAATCGTGTCGAGCAGGATTAGGAAATATTGTCATGATATAACACAATCTCGTCACGCGTGTGAAGACGGATCACAAATGTCTCTTTAACACACAATCACACACTGATGACTCACTCAAGCCCAGCAGATAAATATAGATCAAACCAACATGTGCAGCCAAAAAACCAGCGTCTGAAATCGGTCTGTTTCAGGGGCACAACGGGGCTCAAGTATTGTAACATCATGGGATGAATAACAATGACAAATAATGATTGAATTTATTATTTCGTTGATTTAATAACTTTGATCAAAACTAAAAGTCATAAATCTTTTGTATTAACGTGACGGGATTCTCATTAGCAACATCTTCAATTTCTTAAAATTTGCCATTTAAGAGGGAACTGGCTTATAACATAAAAAGAATAAATTAAGGTTTGACACTTTAGATACAGAAGCACGTTATATTATTATAGTTTTTATTAATATATATATATTTATATATTATTTTTTTTCAGTTTTCATTTTCATTCTAATTTTTAGTGTTTGTGTTGTCATTTTTATTAGTTTTCATTATTAAAAAAAAAAATTCTAGTTTTTATTAATTTTTATTTCAGTTTTAGTTATTTTAGTAAATCAAGTTAAACTAAACAAAAATGAGAAATGTTGCCTTGGTAACTAACTGAAAAAAAAAAGTTTATTTTTAAAGCATCAAAAAATTTTTTATCAAATTATGCAGTATTTATATATTAAGATTGTTTGCTTTAACGTAAATAAATTAAAGTAAATAATGTTTCTACAAACCAATTTTTTGATTAATGTTTTTTTTTTTTTTTCAAAATTATCCTTTTATGAAATACCTTTTTCTTTTCTTTTTTTGGCTTAACATTTAACACAAATAGGAATGTTGCTAGAAACCACTTGCATTCTTTTTTTTCTCAAATGATCCATTATTGAATTGTTGTTTTTTCCTTAACATTTAATGTAAATAAAAAGGTAACTAGAAACCAATTACTTGATTCATGAAAAGAATGATTTTTGAATGTTTTTTTTTCCTTTATCGGTTTTATGAAACGTAAAGATAGATCCTGAGAGACTCAAAGAAGTCTGCTCAAATCAAACGATCCTGATGTTCTGAACCCACAGATCAACCTCACACACACACACACACACACACATTTATCACACACGTTTATGCTTTCACTTACACTCGATTCAAGGGAAATCTCTGGATCAGGTGGGATTTGACACAATGTTATTTTAGGGTCTTTGAGATGCTGTTTTAGTTTTTAGTAATGTTTAGGGATATGCATAAATGCACACACATTAACTTATATTAGTTAATTTTAGTCATTTTAGGGCTTTTGTCATTGTTATTAGTTTTTTTTTATGTCTATATAGTTTTATTTTTTATTTCACTTTTAGTTTTAGTCATTTTAGTATTTCAAGTTAAACTAAATGAAAATGAGAAATATTTCCTTTCTTACGGTTTTAGTTTGAGTTTGTATAATAACCCTGGAATCAGTGTGTTTTTCCTCTGGAAATTAGCATTATTATTTTTTTTTAAATATAAATTGTGTTTTATTAATATTTTGAATCAGTTTTTATTTATTTTACATGTTTTCGTTTTAATTTAAGTTTAAGAAAATTTAAAATGTGTCTATAGTTTTTAATATAGTTTAATTTCAGGTTTATTTTGAGTAATTTTAGTGCATCAAGTTAAAGTGAATGAAAATGGGAAATGTTGCCTTAGAAACTAGTTTAAAGTTATATACGTTTCTTTTCTTTTCTTACTATAATATCACTGCTGAGAACCAAATCTGCTAATAAAATGCGATGGGGATTTCAGAAATAGTTGTAATAAGCCTAATGTTTCTGAGAGCTAGCTTGCTCTCTGTAGTCATAGCAGCATTCTGTAACATTAGATCAGATGTATTTTGTCTCGTGTGTTGTGTGTTGTGTTGGTCTCACACTGACACCTGCTGCTGCAGAGGAGCATCACACACACAGCAGTGTTCAGCACCTTGATCTGTTTAATATGGTCATGCTATGCTAAAAGAAACTACTTTGTTGTACAAGTGTAAATCATTGTAATGTTGTGATCAATTAAACAAACTAATTATTTACACTTAAAACAAACAAAAAAATCACATGTAAACATTGAAAATTGTGAGCCTGCAGCACAAAAGCAGTGTTAAGTCGCTGGGGTATATTTTTATGTCATATATTTTCCAAGGCGTAAATAAAACAGCTATGTGACATACGAGTGAAATATTACCAGCTGATTTGAGAGTTTTTTTTTTTATTGACCTTAGATTTAAAATACATTTGCAAATCATATTTGGAATTAAACTGAATATTATTAATTCTTGTACATGATCTGTAGTTCCCCGCAGGAGCTTCACAGACATGAGTAAAACCACACACTTACACACTTACATGCTAAATCTCTTTCAAACTGAAGTAACTTCACTGTGTTATATTATCACATATATACGTTCATTATTTGACAGTTTGTGCTAGAAAAATGCTTGAGTATCTCTGAACAGAGAGTAAACACTCACATGTGCAGAAGTGGACGAGGAAACAGGAAGTGGAAGAGCTGAGAGGAACTACTTCCTGTAGGATCAGCGTCACACATGGGCTGAATGGTTCACATCTGTACAGACAGAAACACTCAACATCTGGAACTGGATACACACACACATTGCTTTTATCTGATCAAAAATACAGTAAAAATTTGAAATATTATTATGATTTAAAATAGCTGTTTTCTGTGTGAATATCTGTTCAACTGTAATTTATTTCTGTGATCAAAGCTTTTATTCAGCTTTCAGATGATGCATACACCTCAATTTAAAAAAAATTTACACTTATGACTGGTTTTGTGCTCCAGGGTCACATATACTATAATACTATAATATACATAATAAAAAATAATATGATTTGCGCTTTAAAAAAATTATCCAACAATCTTACACTGAAACAAGGATCCTAGCAACGGCACAGAAAATATAGTAAACTAAAACCAAATTTTTTTTTAATTGTTATACTTGAAATAAAATATATATGAAATATCCGTTTTTAAATCGTGCTGCACAATATTTTTGCGGAAACCGTGATGCATTTTATTTTTCAGGATTCACAGATGAACAGAAAGTCCAGAAGAACAGCATTTATGTGAAATGGAATTATTTTGTAACATTACACATGTCCGTACAGTCACTTTTGCTCAGTTGAATGCATCTTGATGAATATATAGATGGGTTAGTTAGTTACTCACTGTGTTTGTGTTACCACGCTGCGGTTTTAACGTCGTGTGCTGAAGTGCCAAACAAATCTGTTGTGTGCTGTTTTTCTGGTCAGACAGCAGGCTCAGTTCATCTCAATCAAAAGCCCTTGATTAGCTGCTTCAGGTGCTGATCGAGCAGCAGGAGGCAAATCCAGGAGCGGATCCGTGACAAACTCACCCCTGCGTCCTCTGCAGGAAAACTGTCCATATTTACTGGACATCAGTGTCTTTTATTGTCTTACTGCTGCTGGTTTAGTCACTCAAGCCTTGTGTATAGATTTCTGCTTTTATTCAAAGTGACTTATTGTTTATTGCTTTAGTGTATTTCTAGTTGGGGGTGAAGAGATTTGGACATGATATTTGGTTATTTATGTAATAAAAATGATAAATACCAGATCAGTCTTATATGATGGTCGTTCTGAATTCATATGCGATGCCTTTTATCTTCTATAAATGTGATAAAAATTTACATCAACTCAAGCCAGTGTCATGAATAAAAGAAAGAAACCAACTCGTATGGTTTACACCAGGGTTATTGTAACTAAAACTAAAATTAAAACATAAAAAAAAAACATTTTTATTACTTGGCATAGAATAACTTAAATAAAATAATTTAGTTTAACTTGATGTACTAAAGTAACTAAAAGAGATAGAAATCAATAAAAACTATATAAACATATGTAAAATAAATTACTTAAAACTGACAATATTAAACATGTTTAAAAAGTTTGTTTTTAAAAGTGTATCGATCATATTAATTTTATCATATCACAGTGAAATGTTTTTTTTTTTACTTTTTAACTGTAAATCATATTAGTTTGTTTTTTGTACCATAATATAACAATTCATGTTTGTTTACACTAAAAAAGGTTAAAAAGGTGATTTTTGTTTTTAAAAGTGTAAATCATAGTTTGTTTCTTTGATCGTAATATCACACTCACTCACTCACTCACACACACACAAACACACACACACAC